CTGTTCCAAATTTCCTGCAAATCGATTGATATATATGGACTTTGGTACACAATTTACCTTAAATCGGACGAAGATATATATGGGAGCTATATCTAAATCTGAACCGATTTTCATGAAACTTGGCAGACATCATTCTAGACCTTATTCATTACGCTGTGCCAAATTTCGTTCAAATCCAGGGACTTTGGTGCACCAATTGCCTAAAATCGGACGAAAATATATATGGGAGCTATATCTAAATCTGAAACGATTTTTCCCAATTTCAATAGGGTGCGTCCCTGGCCCAAATTTCATCCAATTCGGAGAATAAATGCGACCTGCACTTTGTTTACAATTTAACATGGACAGACGGACGGACGGACAGACGGATAAATCGACCCAGAATGTGGTTCTATGCATATTCTCAAAAGGAACTATGGGTCTATCTCGATTATTTTTGCCTGTTACAAACATATGCACAAAGACATAATACCCTGTACCACAGTGTGGTGAAGGGTATAATGAATAGTGGAGGATAGAGAATGATCAGCCCGGTCGAACTATATGACGTTTATATACACCAACACTTGATGTGGAGTCCTTATTAAGGGAAAATACCAATTCTCGATTTTAAATTTTCAAGTTTTTCAAAGGGCTAGTAAATGAATACCTATTTTTGTTAAGGTTTGTAACTTTCTACATACACTGGTGACCAAAATTTAAGCAACTGAAATTGCAATTTGATTAAATGACCTGTAACTTTTTATACCACACTGTGGTACAGGGTATTATGTCTTTGTGCATAATAGACAAATGGTTCCATTTGAGAATATGCATAGAACCACTTTTTAGGTCGATTTTTACATGTCCGTCTGTCCGTCCGTTGTTAGAATCGGTTCAAATTACATATAGCTCCAATATTTATTTTCGTCTGATTTAAGGTGAACCATAGTTCCATATATCTTTCGATTAGCCGGAAATTTGGCATAGAATGATTTGTTTTAAGTTTTGTGAAAATAGGTTCAGATTTAGATATAGCTTCCATATATATCTTCGTCCGATTTAAGGTAAATAGTGCACCAAAGACCCTATATATTCTTCGATTTGCACGAAATTTGGCATAGCGTACTGAATTCAGTCTAGAATCATGTGTGCTAAGTTTCGTAAAGATCCGTTCAGATTTAGATATAGCTTTTATATATATTTTCGCCCGATTATACATATATTGTGCACCAAACTCCTAACACGAAATTTTGTACAACGTATCAAATTGAGACTTAATGGGTTTTGTTGAAATTGGTGCAGATGCAGCGTAGCTTCCAATTTTGCTATAAATCCTTTTCCATAAATTTCTCCCATGATACTCAGACGACTCAAAATCTACCCGAATGAAATTAAATTTATCATAGGTTGCAGAATGACATGAGTATGTTCCTTCGAGGGAACATTGACATACAATTGTAAGGATACATATGTACAATACACCCAAGTGGTGAAGGGTATCACATAGTCGGCCCAGTCCGACTTTACTACTTTCCTTACTGGTTTCAAATTGGTGCAGATGCAGACATAGCTGCCATATATACTTCGAACGGGTGTCTGATTGAGATTACATTTTGAATAATGCGGCATACCGATTAGCGTGTATCAAGTGTGCTATAAATCGATTTACATAAATTTTTCCAGTTTTACGCAAACGACTCTAAATCTGCCCGAATGAAATAAAATTTAGCGTAGATTGCAGAAAGTTATGTCTTTGCATTGATGTTAGTCGGTTCACTTATAGATAAAGATCACATCGAAGGAGTATTGATATGAAGTTGTTAGGATACATATGTAGAATATACCCAAAGAGGTGAAGGGTATCATATAGTCGGCCCAGTCGGACTTTACTACTTTCTTTATATTAAAAAAGTTATCTGATTTGTTCCGCGTTTATTCCCATATAAGTATTGGATTCTAAGGCGATTTAGCCGATTTGGCAATCTGTTGTAATGATTTTACCTTCGGATGATATCGAATAAAAACTAGAACTTCAGGTTCGACAATGAAATATATCGGCCCGCATTAAGGCCTAGCCCCCATATTTAGCGTGAATGAAGTTATTGTGATGCAAAAATGTTAGGTTCGAAATTGAGCTATATCAGTCCTCAATTAAGCGAAGGACCTCATATAATGACAACACCAAATTTTCGATTATTCCTACAATATCAATATTGGTCCGGCTTTAGGTATTGCCTTCAGGGACCTTCACATAAAAATAGTTTTCCTCTAAGAAAATATTAAAAAATTCACGACTAAAGGTATTTTGGTCTTCCAGGAAAATAATAAAAATAACACGCCTTTTGGTGGAGTAGAAAAAATATTTAAAAAATCTTTGATTAAAGGTCTTTTGGTGATCCATATTTTTATACCCTTCACCACACTTTGGTACATGGTATTATGACTTTGTGCATATGTTTGTAACTGGCAAAAGGAATAGAGGTGGACACATGGTTCCTTTTGAGAATATGCATATAATCCCTTTTTATGTCGATTTATGCATGTCCGCCCGTCCGTCGGTCCGTCCATGTTGAATTGTAAACAAAGTACAGGTCGCATTTTTGATTCGAATTGGATGAAATTTGGCATAGGTCACTTATATGCCCCAAGGACGAAACCTATTGAAATATATATATTTCGTCCGATTTAAGATAAGTGGTGCACCAAAGTACCTATATATCTTTGGATTTACATGAAATTGAACGAAAATATATATGGGAGCTGTATCTAAATCTAAATTTACTTCATGTAATTTGGATACAAAATGAAAAATTCATGGACAGAAAGGAGGGCGGTTGGACATGCATTAAGCATTTCACAGAGTGATTCTCCGTATATCATCAAAAGGAATTATGGGTCTATAATTTTTATACCCTACACAACTATGTTGTCAAGGTATTATAGCTTTGTGCAGCCTCAAAAGTTTGTAACGCCATATCCAAAAGGAGTGGTTGACCTTTAAATTAAGACCAATTATATTGTTGTATGTGCTCGGATGTGGGAGTTACACCTAAATTTTTATAGGTATCTCCGTATTTGTATATTAGTTAGTAACCCATTATCACTCTAGAGAGCGGAACTATAACGCTGATCGCTTTGAAATGTTCCATGAGGTTCCGGGTAAGGAGAAATATTTTAAATTACTTTTTCAGAGGTTATGTCTTATATATGAAATATTAAACATGGACTTCAATAGCGTTTTGTGCTTTTTATTTTACAGCCCTTTCTATACAATGAAAAGTATAATCATGTTGCATGTTCAATCAGAACGATTTCTTTTTTATTTGTATTCGGTTTTCTATTGCAGAGATGGGAAGTCTTATCTAATGTTAGGTGTACTTTTAATATAAATTGTGGAAACACAACAGAATAATAACTTTCCACATGGTTTTTTAAGTGTTGAATTTTAAGTTATAAATAGTCTTCTAAATATTCCCATTCTAACATTCAATGGGTTACATATTTCTTCTATAGAATCTGAACTATGATTTTCTGACTTTACATCTCTGGCTATATGGAGCAGTATATTTTTTTACCATTTCCTTTAGTTTATTTTGCAATACAAAAGAAATACGAAGTTATTTTTTTACAAAATAAAAATCCTTTAATTTGAAGCATAAACGCAATACTTATCTTCACATTCGATCAAGAATTTTTCAAATACATAACCTTTTTTCTAGTTTTTGTTACCATTTATTCCTTTTTCTTTGTTGCATGCCTTCATTGGTGCTGATGTTAGTGAATTTTAACAATAATCTTTTGTACTTGGAAATCTATTGATGTTTTTCTTGGAGTTTTCCTTTTTTATTTTTCTTACAAAAAGGATAAACTCTACTCATAGTTAGTTACATACTCTATTGTTCAAATTCGTTCGATTATGAAAACAAACAATTTACAACAAGGAATTGGATTGAATGAAAAAAGGAATATCCTGTTAATTACTTTTGGGAAAGTTGAATCCTAAAGGTCTTTTGGTGGTCTCGAAAAAATATTTAAAAAATCCACGCCTAAAGGTATTTTGGTGGTCTCGAAAAAATATTTAAAAAATCCACGCCTAAAGGTATTTTGGTGGTCTCGAAAAAATATTTAAAAAATCCACGCCTAAAGGTATTTTGGTGGTCTCGAAAAAATATTTAAAAAATCCACGCCTAAAGGGTATTTTGATCCTCTAAAAAATATTTAAGAAATTCACACTTAAAGGTCTTTTGGTGGTCTCGAAAAAATATTTAAAAAAATCCACGCCTAAAGGTCTTTTGGTGGTCTCGAAAAAATATTTAAAAAATCCACGCCTAAAGGGTATTTTGATCCTCTAAAAAATATTTAAGAAATTCACACTTAAAGGTCTTTTGGTGGTCTCGAAAAAATATTTAAAAAAATCCACGCCTAAAGGTCTTTTGGTGGTCTCGAAAAAATATTTAAAAAATCCACGCCTAAAGGTCTTTTAGAGGTCGAGAAAAAATATAAAAAAATCCACGCCTAAAGGTCTTTTATAGGTCGAGAAAAAGTATTTAAAAAATCCACGCCTAAAAAATAATAAAAATATTTAAAAAATCCCCGCCTAAAGGTCTTTTATAGGTCGAGAAAAAATATTTAAAAAATCCACGTCTAAAGGTCTTTTGGTGGTGGAGAAAAAATATTTAAAAAATCCACGTCTAAAGGTCTTTTGGTGGTGGAGAAAAAATATTTAAAAAATCCACCCGTGAGGTCTATAGTCCGTTCACTGCAGGCTCTATTGTCCACCACCCTTGGTGGTGTTGAGGGTATTAAAAGGATATCTAAGTAATTTCCAATGTGGATAAACCACCCTTGAGTGCTGTAGCCTGGGCAACCCTTAACAGGTGTTGGGGTAAATGTCAAAATTGTTGTTGTTGCCATGGCAACAACCAATAAATTTGACAGTTATTCTATCAAAAACATAAAAATAATAAAACATAAATAATAAGTTAAGTTTCGAGAAAATCGGAAGAAAGTGCGTGAAAATGATGGAAAGCGCGTCCAGTGAAATCTCAAAGCCCAAAAAGAAAACCAAATCCAATAAATCGAAGAAGTCTCGACCGAAAGTCAAACAAATACCGGCTAACAAACGGAAAATCCAATTAACCCAGGAGTTTGAGGAAAATGAAAAGGAAGTTGCAGCCTTATTGGAAAATGCAAGTCTGCTCAGTGAGTCTAGCAATAATGAGGTGGGTCGAGATGATACTAAATCACCAAGTGAGAAATTCTTTTGCGGCCTCAATGAGGAGGAGACGAAGAAAATGTCGGGAGCCCGGAATTTGTCACAGGAAAATGATGAGGAGGATATAAGCAGCGAGCCAACGGAGGAGGTGGAAGAAATTGCCTCCAAAAATTCCACCGATGACTTGTCCAATACCACACGAAGTCAACAACCCACCTTGGCCTCCACATTTATTCAAATCGCGGAGGATAATTTGGAAGATCTGTTGCGCTTGGAAAAAAGTGAATTTCATAATGAAATGGTGGAGTTTACTTTCAAGCCCCCTCTAGAGCTGGAACAGTCACTGATTTCATATCCAGTGGGTAAGAAATTAAATCCCAATTTATATGCGTTTATAAATCGCCTGAATATGGAGGCCCGAGTGCGAAAAGTAAAGGTAAATCCCGAAATTTTGAAAGCCTTAAAGGAAGCCTTAGATTCTCAGCGATTTTTCAAGGATCGGATTTACTATCGAACCTCTTGTGATTTTAAATTTAAACCAATATTTATGGAACCATCATGGGATAGCATGGAAATACCCTCTAAGAAGCTGTTAACCTTACATCTCAAAGATATACGTTTTACGGAACATCCTGACCTGCAAGAGGAACATAAATTGGCCAATGATTTGGAGTTGCTCTATGAACATCGCTGTCAGCGACTAAAGGAGAAGATTACAGAGAAGCTTTATGCCGATTTGCAGGTCCAACGGAATATTTTAAATGACCTCTTAAAGACTGAAGAAAATTCCAACAGGAGCCGCCGGGCAGATCAAGAAAAGAAGGCCTACAAAATTGAACAACATTCGTTTAAGGTGAAAGCCCTCCGGGAAAAGCTTTACGATGAGGAGCATACGAACAAACAGCTATTGCAGGATATTCTAGAGAAGTGGTTGAAGTTGAAAAATCTGCGCAAACAAAAAAGTCATCAGTTGACCCGACTCAAGCTGCGTTTGAAAATTGAGGATGTTAAGGCTTCGGAAATAAAAAATCGTCAACAATTGTGGGCGCAGAGATTTGATACAGATTTAAATGAAATCTATCGAGAGAAGTTGGAAGAATATTATCGGGCCAAGCGCATGTGGCGTTCTCAGCGTGAAGAGGGTCTGTTGCCACGACCAAGGAAGCCAGATTTGGGTCTCATATCAACAGAATTGAAAGATAAATATGCCACGTGTTTTCTCAATCCCAAGGAACCACGCATCGATGTGATTCGTATTTTTGAAAATGAAGAGGCATTTGCCGAGATGCCGGGTCCAAGGAAGTTACAAAGTTATTTCATGAGGGTCATTTTTGATGGACAAATGGTGGGGGAGACACGTACCTATAGACTGGAAAGAGATTTAAGTTTCACCGTCAATGAAAAATTGGGAATTGTGCTGAATCGGAGATTACCTAAGGATATAAAAATCAAGGTAAGAACCAAAAACCTTTTTAAAAGTTAAACATTTTTTCTAGAGGATTCAAGGACCTTTAGGCGCCGATTTTTTTAATATTTTTTCTGGAACACCAAAAGACTTTTAGGCGCGGATTTTTTAAATATTTTTTCTGGACCACCAAAAGACCTTTAGGCGTGGATTTTTAAAATTTTTTTCTCGACTATCAAATGTCCTTTAGACGTGGATTTTTTAAATATTTTTTCTATTATTTTCAGCTTTACCAAAAACTAAAATTAACCGGATCCCAAAAGATAGCTAATATCATTGTACCCTTACCACTGCCATCGGCAAGTGGTGGAGAAGATCCGCCCAACATCACGGTTACATTTTCCTCTCATAAACAATCAATATCCGGCTATTTACGCCTGAACCTACAAAGCGATGAACAAATTTATCCACAAGAAATTGTGGAACGCCTATTTCCCGCTCCTGGGCAGCATACCCATATTCCTCCGAATATGCTCAAAGATTGGTATAATAACAATTTGATGACATTACCAGAATCTTCGGAACAAGTAGAAGATCATCACTCCGAGAACAGTGAAAGTGAAGAGGAAGCAGAAAAATCTGCCATGACAAAAACCTGCACCTTTCAAGAAGATCTCCTGCGCTTCTGTGATATATCCGAAATCGATAATAACCCTCGTCTACGTCTGTTACGATCTCGATATTCGAAAAATTACGCTCGTACCAGAGATTTAAAATTTATACCAATGTTGGAGCATGAATTGGAATTTGAATGGGAATCGGAGGAGCGAGTTTTGGATCCTGGAAATTGGATGGATCCCATTGATTTGCATAAACATGAGGGTAAAAAATATTTGAAGCAGTTGTATGAAGCTATACAGAATCAATGTATACGCTTGACAAATGTGGTAGCCAGTCAGGAGAATTTGTTGTTAAATGATGAACCAATGAGTTGGAGGTAGGGTTGATTGAAATAAAAATCAATATCTTACCTGAAAGTTTATTTTCCTAATCATTTTTTTCATAATCTTCAAACATTTTCAGTGCCTTCTTTCAAACGCTGCGTTTGATTTTTCAACCTCGGCTGATTTTGAATCCCCGCAGCAATATGTTGCCCTCATCCCCTCCGGGCAGTCAGCAGCATACCCTCTCCATGGATCATGTTCATACATTTAAAATAGTTTGTAACATCATAAGAGCAACTGGTATACCAGTGAGGATTACGAATCCTGATGATTCAGATAGTAGGGGAAGAGGTGGTAGTCCTGGATCGTCGAATGTTTTTGTGCTGCAAAGTAAGAAGATAAGATATATTTATCAATTATGATTAATAATTTTAAGATTATTTATTTTAGATCTAAAATACTCAAATGTTCGACCATTTGTAGCTATAAATTATAAGGACAAATTTGGTCGTACCATGACGGCTGAGGGATCGAATCCAACATGGAATGAACAATTGGTTATACAAATAAGGTAATGACATGGGAATAATAACAATAACACCTGTTTCGGAATTCAAAGAAGTAGGGGTTAAACAAGTAAGGTTCCACTTATAGATGGATATATTTATATGGAACATCCTTTAAGGTGGTCGTAAGCAAAAAATTATCACGACATATCTCCGAATTTTGGCCTACGACGAATTTTTCCTTCTGAGGTTTTCATATATCCACCAAGGCCTTTCATCCCCAATAGGAATTTCACATTTCAACAAGGCCTTTCACACCAATAGGAATTTCACACCTCCCAGACCATGATCCCGATTTTGTTTCACAATGTATTTAAAGGATAAAATGGATGAACAACTTACCACGAAATTTTATATGAATAAGGAATATGCATGTCCCTTAGCATGACAATATGTCAATATTTTTGAATTTCAAATGGAATTATTTAAATTTCAAATGGAATTTTATGAAATTCAAATACAATACTTGGAATTTCAAATGGAAGTTTATGAACTTCAAATGGAATTCTATGAATTTCGAAAGGTATTCTATTAATTACAAATAAAATTCTCGAATTACATCTGATATGATATCAATTGCAAATGGAATTCTCGAATTATATTTTATATGTTTTGAATAACATGTGAAAAAGGTGTATACGACGATTATTTAAAACATGGAGCTATATTGAACGATTTCCGGGACGAAGTTTTTTTAATCACCACGTATACGAAATGTCACAATACAGTCATTGAAAACTTCAAAATTCGTTTATAAAGCGAGATATGTGAAACCGATACGAATCTTGACAATATGGACTTTTAGGGCTACTTTTGTCTAAACGTGACCGCAAGTGATGTTTAGTGGGAAGATTTGGCAAACTTAACCCTTTCTAAGAGATGGTTATTTGGTTAAAACTTTATTAATACCGTAGAAGGGGTGGAATTTTTATGTGGGGATTATATGAAAATTTGGACCTAAAAACCCAAATTTGTCTTACCCTCCAATATCCTGGAATGCCAATTTCAGCCATTAGAATTGGCCAATTATGAAAAACCCTTCAACATATTGACAACGCGAGGCTACCTTTATATGCATGTTCGCCTGTCTGTCCATGTTAAATTGTAAACAAAGTACAGGTCGCATTTTTGATTCGAATTGGATGAAATTTGGCACAGCTAATTTATTTGGCCCAAGGACCCTATTGAAATTGGAAAAAATCGGTTCAGATTTGGATATAGCTCCCATATATATATTCGTCCGATTTTTGGTAAATAGTGCACCAAAGTCCCTACATATATTTCGATTTGCACGAAATTTGGCATAGAGCACTGAATTGAGTCTAGAATGATGTTTTGTGAGTTTCGGGAAAATCGGTTCAGATTTCGATATAGCTTCCATATATATTTTCGTCCGATTTTATGTAAATGGTGCACCAAAGACCCTATATATCCTTCGATTTTAAAGAAATTTGGCATAGCATACTGAATTAAGTCTAAAATATGTGTGTTAATTTTCGTGAAAATCGGTTCAGATTTAGATATAGCTCCCATATATATTTTCGTCAGATTTTAGGTAAACAGTTCACCAAAGGCCCGTTTATATTCTTCCCTTTATGAATTAAGTCTAGAACGATGGGTGCTAAGATTCGTGAAAATCGGTTCATATTTCGATATAGCTCCCATGTATATTTTCATCCGATTTTAGGTAAATGGCGTACCAATGTCCCTATATATCCTTCGATTTGCAGGAAATTTGGCGTAGCGTACTGAAATGAGTCTAGAATGATATGTGGTAAGTTTCAGGAAAATTGGTTCAGATTTCGATATTACATAAATGGTGCCCCAAACTCCTAATGTTTATCCGATTAAGCACAACGTATTAAATTGAGACTTGAATGACGTTATTGCTTTATTAAATTTATCAGAGGTTGCAGAAAGACATGAGTGTATGTACCCAATGTACTCGGCCCAGTCCGATTTTACTACATTCCTTACTGATATATATCAGCTTTCAAGAATCCTTTATACCAAATTACAGCCACATGCGGCTAAAGTATTTAAAATACCGAAAATTTGATGGTACCGTTCTATGGGAGCTATATCAAACCGTAAACTGACATTGTTAAAAGAGAATTTGAAAAACATACCCAAACTCCAAGAAAGACACCGTATATGGGTGTACCATTATATGGTGACTAACTTGGACCAATATTGATAATTTTTTGTAGTGAGATTTTTTACTCAACTCGAATCCAAAATATAAAATTACGGCTAATTTGGTTAATGCTCTCCGAAATACCGAAATGTGGGATGAAGAGTTATATGGCGCTTCCCTAACAGGTGGACCAATATTGATCATTTTAAGTAGGAAACCTAATTAATTAAGTTTGGGACAATTTGGTTGTAGAATGTAGCGTAACATGGGCGACTCGTGCAAGTCCTAGAAACTTGGGTTGTTATTAATAAATGTTGGTAGGAAGGTTCGCTATATATTGAGACTGCAAAATACCAAATTATGGCCAATTCGAATGCCAATGCCGAATATTGTGACCATTTGCATCATAGAAGTAATAGCAATGTTATAGAGACGTTTGGACACCCATAAATCGACATGGAATATTATTCTGAATAAAAATATATAAATATTACAAGATGTTGAAAATATAATGATATATAATAAATGTCTCTAAAGCGACTAGAAAATCTGACAAAATTAAAGTTTTCGGTTCATAGCACCCCCTGAATGAAATCTCAACTTCACCGAAACCTATAAGCGTCGTCCTTGACCATAATCGGAACTTCATGTACAATTTCAAAGCGATCAGCGCAACACAAAAGTCAGGGTCCATTTGACCCGCTAAATAATGACCGATCTTTATCAAAACAGGCATACTTATTCTTAGCCCCGATCCCCTTCTCCATGTAAAATTTCACGATGTTCGGACATAACTGTGGCCTCTGGAGCGACCAGAAAAACCGACAAAAAATTAGTATTTGGTCCATTTCATCCCCTAAATATTAACCGATCTTTATCAAAAACAATAGGGGTCTTCATTGGCCAGAACCCATCCTACATGCAAAATTTCGTGAAGATTGGTCCATAACTGTGGCCTGTGGCCGTGCTTACAAATTATAATGGACAGACGGACGGACACACATGTCTAGATCGACTCAGCTAGTCGAGATATGACGATCGGTATACTTAAAGGTGGGTCTAGGACCAATATTTCGCAGCGTCACAAACTTTTGGGGCTGCACAAAGCTATAGTACCCTGACAACATAGTTGTGTAGGGTATAAATATCCTCATTTAAATCTGTGGCAACAATGGTCTCTAGAACCATATTTTCTAAAGTCCACGCCTATGTCTTTAAAAATCTACGCTTAATATGGTATTGTGAACAAATACACTTTGTTCTGATGCCTATGATGGTCCATAGAACAAATATATTCTTAAAAACTTTTATTATTGACAGACGAACTAACGGCCGAATACACAAACTTACAACATAGTGGTGTATTTTTATACCCTACACAACTATGTTGTCAGGGTATTATAGCTATGTGCAGCACCAAAAGTTTGTAACGCCGCGAAATATTGGTCCTAGACCCACCTTTAAGTATACCGATCGTCATATCTCGACTAGCTGAGTCAATCTAGACATGTGTGTCCGTCCGTCCGTCCGTCCGTCTGTCCATTATAATTTGTAAACACGATACAGGCCGCATTTATGGACCAATCTTCACGAAATTTTGCATGTAGGATGGGTTCTGGCCAATGAAGACCCCTATTGTTTTTGGGAAAGATCGGTTAATATTTAGGGGATGAAATGGGCCAAATACTAAATTTTTGTCCGTTTTTCTGGTCGCTCCAGAGGCCGCAGTTATGTCCGAACATCGTGAAATTTTACATGGAGAAGGGGATCGGGGCTAAGAATAAGTATGCCTGTTTTGATAAAGATCGGTCATTATTTAGCGGGTCAAATGGACCCTGACTTTTGTGTGAAAAATGACAAAATTTGTATTCTATAGCATATATATTTACTGAAGGAAATAGACCCGAAAAGTTTATATTATATCCAAGAGGAGTGGTTGACCTTTAATTTAATACCAATTATATTGTTGTATGTGCTCGGATGTGGGAGTTACATCTAAATATTTACAGGTATCTCCGTATTCGTATATTATTTAGTAACCCATTATCACTCTACAGAGGGGAATTATAGCGCTGATCGCTTTGAAATGTTCCATGAGGTTTCAGTTATGGTCAAGGACAACGCCTATAATTTTCGGTGATGACCAGATAATAATTTGGAATGAAGTGGACCGAAAACTTAATTTTTTGTGTTATTTTAGAGTCGATCTATAGACTACAAATGAAAGCCGAACATCACAACACATCCCACGGTGAAGGGAATCTGGACAATAGCAGTACTGAATACTCGTAATATTCGAAAAATATGTCAGTGTAAGGACAATAGCTGGACAATAGCTGTACTGAATACTAGTAATATTCGGGAAATATGTCAGTGTAAGGAAGAGGTGCTGTTTACCTCTAATCGGGTAAAAGGTGCAAATATCACGAAATATTGCCCAGGCTCGGAATATACATCCGCAGAAAATTTGAGTCCGTGGTAGTTGTGTAGGGTATCGTATGGTCGGCCCCGTCCGACTATACTGCTCCGCTCACTGGTTTCTGTCTATAAACTTAAATCCTTCTCTTTTTTTCAGTGGCTCCTTAGCAGAGTTACGCGATGATTTCAAAATTTGCTTGTTCGATGAAGTCATTGAAAATCAATGGAATGATGATGCCTCGTTGAAAAGTACGGATATTTTTCAAAGAATACAAAATAATTGGTTGGGTGAATATCGGATACCAATTAGTGCCATATTGACACAGCAAAAGGTAAATATTACCCTTCTACTTTATGAAATAAAAATTAGACGACCTGTCTCCTTCTTCTTGCAGATCGATGGCGTATTCGAATTAAATAATCCGAAAATTTTAATTGGCTACAAGCGACCCTCTCTCGATAATATCACCTCAAGTTCAGAAACGAACATAATGATTGAACAATTTCCCGAAATAAAAGAATCGATACGTTTGTGGTGTTACATAAGTGTGGAGCCAACGTTTGACTTGCCTAGCATCCAGACGAAATGTTTGGAGTGTTCAGAATTATCAGAAGTTAGACAAAATTTGAATAATTGGAGTATGGAGGCATGGGAAATGATGCCAGAGAAATTTTTGGAGCCTCTTGTCTGCACCTCGGAAGGGAAAAGAATATGTATAACAAGATTGTTGCAAGCGATACCGCCCCCAGTTGATGCTAGTGAGAATTTATTGGATAGCGCGTGTCGTTTTGTATCGCTGCTGTCGACGCCGAAGTCCTTTGATCCTTGTACTAATTTTTCTGGTGTTTGGATGAATAATGAGGTGAGCATAGTATTTATTGTTATATGTAGAGAAGAATATGTTTTATACCCTTCATCAATGTATTAAATTTGATATACACTTCGAAGTATTTGTCGGCGACCCCATGAAGTATATATCCTTGATCGCATAAAATATATATTTATTTAATGCCCATCACGACACAGCGCCATTTTAGGTTATTTAGGATTATGGAGAATGATATATGTAGATATTTACAGAAAATGTTCAATATAGGTCCATGTTTTGACATAGGACCCTAGAGGCTCCCCTTCATTTTTATGTCATCTAACATAAGGCGGAAACCCCATAAAGTATGTATAATTCTATCACGATTTACGTGTGTACGTCTGTCTGTCCATCTGCTGGAATTTCCAAATATGTAGTATTATGGAGATTTTTACACCTTTTTCAGCCGAATTGGCTGTAAAATTTCCCTACCGAATATGATCAATATAGGTCCACTTTTTGGGTAGTACCCATATAAAGGTAATCGCCAATGTTCTTTATTTGGGGGGGTTTTAGACAAGTTTTTCAATATAATCAGCCGTAAATTTGTAGTTTGGATTCACATTGGGTATCAAACCTGCTACGATAAATGACCATATTTTGGGAAGCTTGAGCACATGTATCAACCGATTTGGGAGCAATTTAATATTTTGGATTATCTTTGGATGTCCATACCAAAAATTATCTACTATGGTTCATGTTTGGCATAGATCCAATAGAACGGTATCATCACATTTTCGGTATTTTGAAGACATTAGCCACTTTTTCCAACTGATGTGGCTGTAATTTGGTATAAAGGGTTCTGGTAAGGTGACTTATATAAAAATATGTGCGGTGAATATATAGGTCGAAGTTTTGACTCCACATAAAAGATCCACTTCATAAAGATTCGCTTTGAATACAAAATAAATAAAAAATTGGTACACTATTTTTTCGGAGCAGCAACAACCTACTATCATCATAACTTTTCCCCATACAAATGTCCGGATCGACTTAAGGAATTTTGAAAGCAATCCACGTGGTGGAGGGTGTAAAAAGATCCATATTTCCGGCTGAACTTAACAAAATGTCGTTAAGTATTTGTTAAATTTTGGTATTTTTTGGGCCTAGACATATTTCCAAACGATATGGAAATTGGGAGTACATGGTTACAAGTTACAAGTTTTGACATATGGACAAATGAAAGGCATATTTGTTGAAATTTCTGAAAATGGGTGCATGTAATCATATTTCCCACCGAAGCAGAAGTAATTTGTCATTCCAAGGTCGTAGAGTGTTTGAGGGTGGACTAGCCTTAAATTGATTTTCTTTATCGACCATCTCTGAAGGTGGTATCCTTTATAGATCAGCTCCAAAGTGGTATTCATTTTCGACCTGCCTGAAGGTTGTATTCTTTACAGGGCAGTCTTTTTTGATATGCTCTTAAGATGGGGGTCTATATAGAATCGCCTGAAGGCGATCTTCTTTATACAACCAGGTGGTATTTTTATAGAATAGCTCTGAGGGAGGTATGCATTATAGGCCAGGTCTGATGGTGGTAATCTTCTTTATAGACCAGCTCTTAAGGTGGGGGTGTAAAGACGTTCTTCTTTATACACCAGCCGGAACGTGGACTTATTTGTAGATCAACCTGAAAGTGATTTTCTTTATAAATCGGCTTTGAAGCAGGTATTTATACCCTACACAACTATGTTGTCAGGGTATTATAGCTTTGTGCAGCCCCAAAAGTTTGTAACGCCGCGAAATATTGGTCATAGACCCACCTTTAAATATACCGATCGTCATATCTCGACCAGCTGAGTCGATCTAGACATGTGTGTCCGCCTGTCCATTATAATTTGTAAACACGCTACAGGCCAAAGTTATGGACCAATCTTCACGAAATTTTGCATGTAGGATGGGTTCTGGCTAATGAAGACCCCTATTGTTTTTGGAAAAGATCGGTTAATATTTAGGGGATGAAATGGACCAAAAACTTTATTTTTGTTAGGTTTTCTGGTCGCTCCAGAGGCCACAATTGTGGCACAAACACCCCGAATTTTTGCATGGAGAAGGGAATCGGGCCAACGAATAAGCATGCCTGTTTTGATAAGGATCGGTCAATATTTAGCGGGTCAAATGGACCCTGACTTTTGTGTGAAAAATTACAAAATTTGTATTCTATGGCGTATGTATTTACTCCTGAAGGACATAGGTCCGAAAAATTGATAGTATATCCAAGAGGAGTGGTTGGCCTTTAAATTGATACCAATTATATGTGGGAGTTACACGTTAATATTTACAGGGGCTTATGTATTCAGATATTATTTAGTAACCCATTACCACACTGGAGGGCGCAAATATAGCGCTGAGGTTCCACTTATGGACAAGGTCAACGCCTATAATTTTCGGCGATGATCAGATAATAATTTTGGGATGAAGTGGACCGAAAACTTAATTTTTGTGTGTGTTTTTCCAGTCGATCAATTGCCAAAAGCCGAACATCACAACACAACTCACTGTGAAGGGAACCTGGATAACTAATTAGAAGGGCTGTACTGAATATTGGAAATATTCGGAAAATATATCAGTGTAAGGAAGAGATGCTGTTGACCTCTAATCGGGCAAGAGAGTGCAAGTATCACGAAATATTGCCCAGGCTCGGAATAAAACCCCGCAGAAGGTTAGAGTTACGTGGTAGTTGTGTAGGGTATCGTATGGTCTCCGTCCGACTATACTGCTCCGCTCATTTGTTTTTATATGTGTTATTCTTTATAGAGCAGCTCTGAAGGTGGTATTTTTGTAGACGTGTCTGAAGGTGGTCTTCTTTATAGATCAGACTGAAGATGGTATTCTTTACAGACGTGACCGATGGAGATCTTTTTTATATACTAGGCTGAATGTGATATTCTTCAAAAACCAACCTCAAGGTGATTTGCTTTAAATTCTCCTCTGATGGTGATATTCTTTTTAGACCAACTTTGAAGCTGATATTGGTATAGATCTAAATTGGTATTCTTTATAGGTCAGCTCTAAAGGTGATATTCTCTATAAACAAGATCTGAAGATTCTTTATAGACCAACCCTAAAGGTTGTAGTATTTGTAGAAATGACTAAAGGTGGTCTTCTTTGTAGACCAGCTCTGAAGGTGGAATTCCTTATAGACCAGCCCTGGAGGATGTCTTCTTTATAGATCAGCTCTGAAGGTTTATAGAGGAGCTCTGTATGTTTCTTTCCAGACCAGTTCGTAAGTTGTTCTTCTTTACAGATCAGCCCTGAAGGTGATATTCTTTAAAAAACAGCTTTATGGGTCGTTTTCTTTATAGACCCGCTCTGAAGGTGGTATATTTATTGACCTGCCTAAAGGTGGTATTCTTTATAGAAGAAGGTATTTATAGATCAGCTCTCAAGTTGGTATTCATTGAACACCGCCTTAAGGTGGGGTTCGCTTAAGGTGAACTTCTTTACAGACTAGGCTGATGTTGGAGCTTTCCTTATAGACCAGCTCTGAAGGTGATTTCTTTATACGCCAACATCTTTGTGGACAATTTTCTTAAACCCCCATTGTTTTTACATAGGCCCCATTTTACATTCAGGGTTATTGCATCTAATTTTTAATGCAAACATATTCAAGGTAGGTCCATTCTTGGTATTTTGAATATTTTCTTGCCTTCAAGGTTCTGCAACTTGCTGTTGCATAGTTATAGATTTGTGTAGTATGGGTCCATTTTTTCACAATAGCCCTCATACAAAGGACCTGTCTAATTTGCGGTATGTCGACATAACCCAAATATACAGGTCTTCAGCAATTTTGAATGTCCACCTCGTTGTGGTTATTTAAAGTTCGGCCCAGACGTCATTAATGTTTTTCGTATTTCGACATAACCCCATATACAAGTCCCCAGCGATTGAAGTTATTATAAATGCCGTACTCATTAATTTTTTTATTTTTCTGTTTACTTTCAGCTTCTTTTGGATACCACTTGGGGTTCCACGAAAGATTTGGGTGTTTTGCTCTGCAGCTATCTCCTGCATTTGGGTCTACAATGTTGGTTGGTGTTAGGCCTAGCCTATCCATATGGACAATGTGCTTTTGTTCTATTTATTTCTGAGGAGGAAATGCAATTCATTGACCCCTGCAGTGGGAAGCGATATTCGGTCAAGGACGTATTTTGTCCATTATATTCCATCAAAATGGTTGTGGCTCCGAATAATGTAAGTCATTTCAAATTTCAAAAATAATTTTCATTATTTTATTAATTCGATTACTTCCCTATTTAGTTTTATCTCAACATCCAATCGGAGCAACGTGTTTCAATGATGAATTTCAATTTTACCGATTCGTCCTGTTGGCTACCAGGGTTTGGTAAAAGAGCAACCGCCCCTCAGGGAGGATTTCATTTGGAATCATATAAATATCGTTCATCTTCGAGTATTGGTGAATTGAAATATAATATTGAACGTAAAATAATGAAGAAAATAAGTAGCTGGAGAACTATGCGGAAGACGGTGTGGAATAGGTTGGTATTTGGGGGAGATATTTGTTAATTGGATATTTATGGTTGAGTTTTTTTTTTTGTTTTTATTTTTAGAGCCTTTCAACCACGTCTATTGAATATTCTGCAAGCTATGGAACAAAGTGCAACTTTTGGTAGCGGATCTTCCTATGAGGAATTAAAATATAATAACATGTTGGCGGCGGAGTTTCCTAATTATAAGGTATGTTAAAACTAGGTAGATAGTACCAGTCGGTGTTCCCGTCACCTATACCACCTCAAACTATTACACACTTATATTGGTATTTGTATACCTCGCATTAAATTTTCATTGGCAAAATTATTCCTTTATTTAAAAACCAGTAAGGAAAGTAGTAAAGTCGGACGGGGCCGACTATATGATACCCTTCACCACTATGGGTATATTAAGCAGGACTATAACATAAAATTGGATGAAAAAAATGTGATATTTATCTAAATGTGAATCTACCTAGATCTATCCATAAAGTATGTCAATCGACTTCAAACAAATATAAATAGGTCATCCGTTGGGCTATGTCTGCACTTCTAGAAAACGCAACTACGTAATTCTATGCTCAATTTTTTAAGTTGTGCAAAATTTGATGTCAATCTGACTAACATGAGGAGTTTGATGCCCAATTTACTAGAAATCGGGCGAAAATATATATGGAAGCTCTATCCAAATATTGAGCGATTTCAAACAAACTTGTCACAGGTTAGGTTATACAACTTTCAGAACGTTTTATTCCAATTGGTTCCTTAGTACGTCAATTACTTAAAATCAATCTATAATAAAAGGGAGCTATATCTAAATCTGGACCGATTTTCACGAAACTTGGCAGACATCATTCTAGGCTCAATTAAGTACGTTATGCCAAATTTCGTGCAAATCGAAGGATATATAGGGACTTTGGTGCACCATTTACATGAAATCGGACGAAACTATATATGGGAGCTATATCTAAATCAGGACCTATTTTCACGAAACTTGGCAGACATCATTCTAGACTCAATTCAGTACGTTATGCCAAAATTCGTGCAAATCGGAAGATATTTTGCGACTTTGGTGGACCATTTACATCAAATCGGACGAAACTATATATGGGAGCTATATCTAAATCTGGACCGATTTTCTCCAAACTTGGCAGACATCCCTCTAGGCTTAATTCAGTACGTTATGCCAAATTTCGTGCAAATCAGAAGATATATAGGGACTTTGGGCACTATTTACATGAAATCGGACGAAACTATATATGGGAGCTATATCTAAATCTGGACCGATTTTCACGAAACTTGGCAGACATCATTCTAGACCTAAATGATTAGGCTGTACCAAATTTCGTGCAAATCGAAAGATATATAGGGACTTTGGGGCACCATTTACATGAAATCGGACGAAACTATATATGGGAGCTATATCTAAATCTGGACCGATTTTCTCCAAACTAGGCATACATCACTCAAGGCTTAATTCAGCACGTTATACCAAATTTCGTGGAAATCAAAAGATATATAGGGACTTTGGGGCACCATTTACATGAAATCGGACGAAACTATATATGGGAGCTATATCTAAATCTGGACCGATTTTCACAAAACTTGGCAGACATCATTCTAGACCTAAATGATTAGGCTGTACCAAATTTCGTGCAAATCGAAAGATATATAGGGACTTTGGGGCACCATTTACATGAAATCGGACGAAACTATATATGGGAGCTATATCTAAATCTGGACCGATTTTCTCCAAACTTGGCATACATCACTCTAGGCTTAATTCAGCACGTTATACCAAATTTCGTGCAAATCAAAAGATATATAGGGACTTTGGGGCACCATTTACATGAAATCGGACGAAACTATATATGGGAGCTATATCTAAATCTGGACCGATTTTCACGAAACTTGGCAGACATCATTCTAGACCTAAATGATTAGGCTGTACCAAATTTCGTGCAAATCGAAAGATATATAGGGACCGTTTACATTAAATCGGTTAAATATATATATGGGAGCTATATCTAAATCTGAACCGATTTTTCCCAATTTCAATAGGGTTCGTCCTTGGGCCGAATAAGTGACCTATGCCAAATTTCATCCAATTCGGATCATAAATGCGACCTGTACTTTGTTTACAATTTAACATGGACAGATGGACAGACGGACAGACGGACGGACGGACATGCATAAATCGACTCAGAAAGTGATTCTATGCATATTCTCAAAAGGAACCATGTGTCTATCTCGTTTCCTTTTGCCTGTTACAAACATAATACCCTGTACCACAGTGTGGTGAAGGGTATAAAAATATGTCCTCTTATTAACCAATCTAACAGCATTTTATTGGCTTCGAATTGATTTTAATGTTTGTCCATTTACCAATTTATGAGACCTTCTTTTATATTGACAATTATTGCAATTTTTTTATTGATTTATATTGGCTTTATTGATTTTAATTTTTATTTCATGTCTTTTTTTGCAGATTTATGGCTTTACACTCAACTACTCATATACGAATTTAAATCAAATATCGGAACGTATCAAAACGACTGGCATTCATTTGAATTCCAATAAGAATGTGGAATTTGCATTGGCCGTACACATTCATCCGTATCCAAATAATGTTCTCTCCATATGGATATTTCTAATCTCAATTGTTGTAAATAAATAAATGAACAGGATACGGAAATCAATAAATAAATCATACTAATATGTTTGATATTTGCCAATAAATTGGAATTTTATTTTGTTGTTATTGGTATTTAAAAATGCCAAGTTAAATAGATTTTCCATACGGCAGTCCAAATATTGGGTTAAATTTTTTAATCTCTAAAAATCAATTTAGTTATGATGACTGACTAAGGATTTATTTTAATTGTTAAACCATTACACACACATTCATAACGTTAAGAGTAATATACTGTATATAAAACCTGTAGGCTGAATAGAAGATTTCCTGTAGAAATCACTATTCAGCCAGGCTGAATACAAGATTTCCTTTGAAATCACTTTTCAGCCAGGCTGAATAGAAGATTTCCTATAGAAATCACTATTCAGCCAGGCTGAATAGAAGATTTCCTATAAAAATCATTATTCAGCCATGCTGAATAGAATAATTCCTATAGAAATCACTATTCAGCCTGGCTGAGTAGAACATTTTGTATAGAAATCACCAGGCTGAATAGAAGATTTTCACTATTCAGCCAGGCTGAATAGAAGATTTCCTATAGAAATCACTATTCAGCCAGGCTGAATAGAAGATTTCCTATAGAAATCACTATTCAGCCAGGCTGAATAGAAGATTTCCTATAAAAATCATTATTCAGCCATGCTGAATAGAATAATTCCTATAGAAATCACTATTCAGCCTGGCTGAGTAGAACATTTTGTATAGAAATCACCAGGCTGAATAGAAGATTTTCACTATTCAGCCAGGCTGAATAGAAGATTTCCTATAGAAATCACTATTCAGCCAGGCTGAATAGAAGATTTCCTATAGAAATCACTATTCAGCCAGGCTGAATAGAAGATTTCCTATAGAAACACTATTCAGCCAGGCTGAATAGAAGTTTTCCTATAGAAAGCACTATTCAGCCAGGCTGAATAGAAGTTTTCCTATAGAAAGCACTATTCAGCCAGGCTGAATAGAAGTTTTCCTATAGAAAGCACTATTCAGCCAGGCTGAATAGAAGTTTTTATATAGAAACCTATTCAGCCAGGCTGAATAGAAGATTTCCTATAGAAATCACTATTCAGCCAGGCTGAATAGAAGATTTCCTATAGAAATCACTATTCAGCCAGGCTGAATAGAAGATTTCCTATAGAAATCACTATTCAGCCAGGCTGAATAGAAGATTTCCTATAGAAATCACTATTCAGCCAGGCTGAATTGAAGATTTCCTATGGAAACCTCTATTCAGCCAGGCTGAATAGAAGATTTTATATAGAAACCTTAATTCAGCCAGGCTGAATAGAAGATTTTATATAGAAACCTTAATTCAGCCAGGCTGAATAGAAGATTTTATATAGAAACCTTAATTCAGCGGGGCTGAATTGAAGATTTCCTATAGAAATCACTATTCAGCCAGGCTGAATAGAAGATTTTCACTATTCAGCCAGGCTGAATAAAAGATTTATTTTGCTTTTTAAAGTATTTTATTTAATATTGTTCGACTATTAAAGTTGCTCTTATAAAATATTAGAATAACACAACTAAGTACCGAACACATGCCATTCAAAGCAAATTTAACCAATATTGAGTTGTTTCACATGTCATAAAGATTAAATATGTCACGTGTCAACTTCAGTGATAGTATTGAACTAACAGAGTCACATCCGTTGCCAGTGCAGTTGGAAAAAATAATACAAAAATACATTTACATCGATATCTTTGACTTTTTATGAACATCGACAAAAAAAGTGTTATGATTGTTTGGATATGACGTTAAATCGATAAAAAATGAAGTAACAATTTTTTTGTGGTGATGATGGTAATATTCGTTTAATGTAAAGCGGGATTTTGTAAAGGAGAAGAGGTTCGAAAGGGTTGCCAGTGTAATCAATCATGAA